CTGTTTACTGGTGGATTTCACCGGACAAGTCAGGTATCAGTGTTGTCAAAATGGTCCAACAAATAATAACAAAGGCAAGTTGGCAATGTGGTTGGCAAACCCAACAAAAAAACCCGCTGATTCTGTTTTTTTTTTTTCTCTATGGTTCAAATGTTAAATTGGTTGCTAACAGAAACAATGCAATTTGTTGACTTTCTGTAAAATTTAAAAGTGCCGAGAAAATGGATGCATCCGCAGCGATCGCAGCTATTTTAGAAATAAGCACCGAAATACTCGATGCTGAAATCCATGCTGATAGTCAATGAAAACGTCGACATCTCGAAATTTCCGAAAGTTATAGCCTTCCTGAAAAAAGAATACATTGGTCATCGACCCAACCAGTCGAAGGTTTTAGCAAGGAAAGAAGTCGACAGATTCATGCAAGATGCGCCAACGGAAATATTTTTATTGATAAAGGTTAGCTTTTTCAGCTTTTATTTAACGTTATAAGTAATTTTTTCTACAACTGTCAAAAAATGATGATGTTCGCACACTCATGACAGTTTGCGAAGTGACACTTTTTTTCCTAGGTATTGATTTTTTAACGTTCCCATGACGCCGTGCGCGAACTAGCTATTTCGCACACTAGTGCGCAATTTTGGCTTCGAATGATCGATATTTAAATGGAGTTGTAGAAAAAATATTGTTTGCAACTCGGGCGCGAAATACTTTGATGATCTCGACTATTTTTTTAACTCGGCTGCGCCCAGGGACACTTTATCCGTTAGGACAATTAGGTCATGTCCTACGGGCCACTAGAGAATGAAGGCCAACTGCTGGCCTTTAATTTACAATATAAAATATAAAAGCCCACTATACTAAAAACATCGACTTGTTTAATAGCAGGACTAGCATATATTTCAATACTCTTTAATTCTTATAATTCACACTGCACAAGTACATTTTGTTTGGCCAGAGTGGACTGCCTGACGTCACTATGCTCTGGAATCGCTCCGCTCGCTCCACCAAGCATCAATCCGGAACACGCCCTAGAGTCACCGAGCTGCGCTGAATCGCCTTCGCGTCATTAGCGCAGCACACGGGCACGTGGCAACTGGAAACGACTACAGCAGGAAACTATAAAGGGGTCATTCCATTCCGAGCGACCGCGACAAGCGACCGAGACCGAACGACTTTGCGACCTTAGTCTCATGTCGCGAGGCGACAAATAGCTTACGAGTACACACGACTCCGGCTCGAGACCGGACCAACGACCCAGCAGGGCCCCAAAATACTGCTGCATTCTGCATTGGTGTGAACTTGCAGAAACCACGTCAAACACCAAAATGAGAAAACATTTAAGAAAATGTTTATTGGAAGACGAAGCAGAAGAGGATATAGTTCTGTTGACGTTGTCGCCAGGAAAAAGACAAAAAATTGATCCAAACCTACACATCAAAATCATATGAGGGATGCATCCAACTGTTTATCTGAAAATAAAAGACATTTGAAGTATAAAGATGAAACATCGGATGGAAAGTTCAGGAAGTATTGTAGACTAAGTCATAAACAGTTCAATTTTGTACTGAGTTCAGTAAATGATACTAAATCTACTAACAATTCGTCCTCCTGGGCAGAAAACTTTGCCATTTTAAGAAGTTTTATCTGTTCTAGGTCTGTCTAGTCTCGCAGCACCACTGCTTCTAGAGCAGACCGGTCGCGCGACCGTTGTCGCAAGCTGGGCCCGCCTACCGGTCGCGTGTCGCGTGTCGCTGTCGCTTGCATCGATCTGTACTGCCTACAAATCTATCAAAGCAGTCCGTTGCGGTCGCACGTCGCGATCGCAAGGTCTCGGTCGCTTGTCGCGGTCTCTTGGATCGGAATGCTACCTTTAGTGTTTGCGCTGCTTTGCCAAATTGTAATTTCTTCGAGCTTCTTCTGGAGCATCCAAGGACTTGAGCAGTGTCTTAAGGGTCCAGTGCACCACGAAGTCGTGCCTTGTTGTTGTTGAGCTTGTAGGACATGCACAGGCAACGTGGTGTGAATATTTTCCTCAGTGTTGCAACCCTTTATGCATTTTTTCCTCGCTAATGGATTTGATCCCAAGCCTGTTCTTCCCAAGCACCCATCAGTACCCTTAGTCCCCAGCATCCATATGTTGTGATTGGTAGGCTGGAAGCTCAATGCCGTCATTTTCTTTTAAGACGTTCCGACCATACCTATAGCATGTTTTGTGACCATTCTTGTTCCATCATTTTATAGTACCTTTCTTTGATTTTACCGCCAACATTTTTTGTCTTCATATTCTGCCAGGTTAGTAGTTTGAAATCGTCTGAATGACTTTATTAAACTCTATAAAAAAGAACAATCACTCATGAAAGGCCATACCAAATAATTGACCTACGGGCCATAGGAAGGGTTAAAGCGTCACTGGCTGCGCCTCGTTAAAAAAATCAGATCTCGATCACCAAAGTAGCATTTTGCGCACTAGATACAAAAATAACTATTCACTATCTATAATATCGATGGCAATGTAGTCTCCTCACTCATACCACCCACAGGTCTGTCCGCACGTGAATTCCATCATCTTAGACTAACTCAAATATCGCAGATAAATAACGACCTGGAGATAATAGAGGACTGGGGTAACAAAAACCTTATACAGTTCAACGCGCAGAAAACCCAAGCAGCTCTGTTTTCAAAAAAGACCAGCACCGGTGAGCCAAACATCATGCTATCTGGAAGTGCTGTCACATTACAGAGTCAGTTGAACATCTTGGGGGTTACTGCAGAGACCAACATGTCTTGGCACAGTCACGTGGCAGATATTGCTAAAAGGGCGTCCCAAAAGCTGGGGGTGCTATTTCGTACAAGACATCTGTACACACCAAGCCAATTGCTGACACTCTACAAAGCCCAGATTCGACCAACTATGGAGTACTGCTCACATATATGGAGTGCAGCACCCAAACATACCTTAATGCTTTTGAACACCGTGCAAAAACGAGCTATCAAGCTGATCAATGACCCCGCACTTACTCGTAACTTGGATGGTCTCGAACATCGCAGATCTGTGGGCGATTTATCTCTCTTCTACAGGTACTATCACGGAAAATGCTCTGAAGAGTTGGCACGTATGATTCCACCGAGAGTAGCGCCTACCAGGCGAACCCGTCAAACAGACGGTAACCATGAATTTACTGTCAAACTAGAGGCACCAAGAACCTCATTATATCAGAATTCATATCTCTGGAGAACAGCATCGCTGTGGAATAAACTCTCTGCGACGGTTTTCCCTGCAGGTTACAACCTGAACCGTTTCAAGACCAACATACACCGACATTTCCGCGCACTTGCCGCTCCTCGAGCGTGATAGGACATTTCCTTGCGAGTGCGCATATCCGTAAAAAAAAAAAAAAAAAAATAAGTATGTGTCATAAGTATTCTGTATTGTTTCAGGTAATAGCACTGCTGGACATCTGTGGAGGGTGTAGGAGGGACGAACTCTACAAACTGAATAAAGAGGACATAGAAGATACAGGGTCCCAGTTGATTGTAAGCATTAACCAGACCAAAACATACGTGAAAAGGGTGTTCACAGTAATAGAAGAAAATTTTCTAAAAACTTTTCGTCACTATCGCAGTCTGCGTCCCAAAAACCTACCAGAAAAGGCATTCTTCGTATGTTATAGAAAACGCAAATGTATAGGCCAAAGAGTGGGTATACATTCGATTGGAGGAGCATCCCAAAAAATTGCCGAATTTCTGAATCTAGATAGTCCTGAAAAATACACAGGGCATTGTTTCAGACGGACGTCTGCAACCCTTCTATCCAACGCTGGGGCCGACATTAATGTTTTAAAAGGTCACGAAGGATGGAAGAGCAGCAGTGTGGCGGAAAAATACGTAGAGGAGTCTTTGCAAAAACAAAGGTGGCCAGAATGATTCAAGGAGGAGAAACTGTCGTGAATGTTCTTCCGAGACTTCTATGGGACGTTTGCTTTTCATATAGCATAAGATATCCTTGAAGCGGACCTTGGGCAGTTCCTGTGAGATCTTTGAGATGTTCGTGAAATTTAGTGTGTGTAAGTCGCATACTTCAAGATATATCTTTGATACTTCTATGGGATAGTTCGATGTTTGCTGGGTTATCAGTTCATCACACCTATCACAATTCACAATTAAAGGTTTTTTTTTTACTTGGGTTTGTTTGCAAATGTGACAATTCATTTTGTATGTAAATTCTGTTTTTTTTTTAAAGATAATTCCCCAAGTCAAAAATTCAGTAACTATGTTGGCAACACAAGCCTTTTCTACATAAAAAATTTGAAAGCATTGACAATTTTACATTGTATTGCCAACATAATGTCATTTCGAATTTTATCTTAAAAAAAAACAGACTTTATAGTCAGTCCAATACACAGAAGTCTCTCCAAAATCAAAGCATGTAGAATAATAATAATATAGCAAATATGATTCAGGTAAAGATAATATCTAATTTTTGACTTTCACTACACATACCTGCGAATACAATATTTTTTTCTTTCAATATTCATATTTTGTTTTTTTTTGGGAAAGTTTATATTCAAGCAACGAGTTAGGTTTATTTTCCAGATTTTTATCCATACTACCTATGTTTTTAATTATGTTATAAATGTTCTGGATAGTATCTGGATTGGTTCTCTTACAACATACTGTACAAACACTAAGAACTACCCCAAGCTAACAAACGCTAGAGGGTCGTTACAAAACATTCGTAAATACGTAGGCTAAGAAAAATAGTTTTTCTTCCCACATACTCAACGATTTGCCTTCTTCTTAGAACATAACGCTTTTGATCTATCAACTTTTTTGTGGAGTCTCTTATTTTATTTTCTCCTGTCTTTGAGACCTAGCAATTGCTGTTAAAGGCTCTACTTTTACTTAGTTGCTATACAACCCTAATGAATGAGTAGTAATCCAGAATAGTTACTTTTTATTTTAGTTTTTGATAGTTGAGGACTTCAACTTTCCCCATATAGAATGGTGTCTTAAGGAATGCTTCCTGGTCCCAGCACAATCGAGAACCTAAGCTGAAGAAACCTTCATTGAGTCAATGTATTACTTGGAGTGGCAACAAGCACGTTAAAAATTATTCGGGCAAAATTTTAGAATACATAATAATTGACAATATCGAAACTTACTCAGTTGAACAAAGCAACCAACCTTTGGTCAAGTACGATCCTCACCATCCAGCCCTCGAGCTTTTCTTTGACACCGGTGTGACGGAAATAGTGAGGGATAACTATTCTAAGATCATGGCATTCAATTTTCATAAAGCTGACTACAACGCTTTCAATTCTCACTTTTCCAATATGGATTGGTCTTTCATCGACGAACCTTTGAACCTTGATGAGATAGTGGAAAATTTCTATCGCATTGTTTATTCTGCCCTTGATAGATTTGTGCCTAAACGAGCCGTCGCAGATAATAAGTTTCCGAAGTGGTATAGTGCTCCACTAAAAAAACTTAATAGTTTTTAAAACAAGTACCTACTACACAAAATACAAATACTCCAGGAGTCCTCACGATTATACGATTTATTCAAAGTTGCGAAGGGAAGTGAAATATCAAATATATATTTGCTATGTCATCTTTATATCGAACATGGAGCATCTACTACCTACAAATATCAAGCACTTTTGATCCTACCTTAACTCCTTAAGAAAGGACTCGGGCATTCCAGCTACGCTGCAACATAATGAGCAAGTTTTCGCCGACAATCAGGCAATTTCCGATGCTTTTGCCGCCCACTTTCAATTTTGCTACACAGACTACAAAGGTTCCAGGAAGATTTCAACATACCCTTTGCCTCTATGCTATCCTCCTATGACTTCTTGGAAAATAATATCGAATCAAAGCTAAAGCAATTGGACAGCTCCAAGGGTCTATGTTCTGATGGCTTTCCCCCTCTGCTGGTTCAAAAATGTCACCGTTCCATGTCAAAACCTCTGTGCAAATTACTTCAAAAATTGCTGGAAAAAATCAACTATTTTTTCAATTTTCAAATCTGATGACAGGAAAGATATTCGCAATTACAGAGGAATTTCCCTTTTTATTTGCTTTCCTCATACTAGAGGCCATCATTTCAGAGAAGATCTCCGAAACATATAACCACCACATAATGGATGAGCAGCATGGTTTTTATCAGGGTCGATCTACAGCAACAAGCCTGGGCGTTTATCAAAACTACCTGATCCATTCACTGGAAGCTGGTCACTTCAGGCTTGAGTCGTACCTTAGCGAGCGCAGGCAGTATTGTACTGTGGGTGAGGCAGCATCCCGGGAAATTAATGTTCTCTCCGGTGTTCCCCAGGGGTCACACATAGGTCCAATACTATTCCTCCTGTTCGTTAATGATGTGGCCAGCTGCTTTCACAATGCTCATCAGTTTCTTTTGTACGCCGATGACCTCAATTTTTTTTTTTTCGAAAACGGGTCCGCATGTCAACCTTTAAGGGGATTTGGACAGGAACAATTTTTTGGAATTGAACGATTAAGAAGTGTAAGTCAATGCAATTTTTTAAGAGCGGACTGTCTAGTCTTTTTGATACACCATCGAAAACCAGATAATTGAACATACTAGCGTTTACAATGATTTGGGAGTGATCTTCAACAGTAATTAAACTTTTGAGAACCATACATTGAGTGTTGTGAGTATTGTGAACAGAGGGTTTAGGATGCTGAGCTTTGCAAAGCGTAACACAAAGCATCTACATGATACCCAGGCGCTTCACACTCTTTACAACTCTCTGGTGCGGAGCATTCTTGAATGCTACAGCGTGGTCTGGTTTCCTTTTTACAGCTGCCACAAACAACGGATTGAAAGAATTGAGGCAAAATTTGCTAAATACCTCCTGTACAAACATCACTTTCCCTATGGAAACGTCGACCACAGCATTAGGCTCCTCCTTTGTGGCCTGAAATCATTGGATCACAGACGCCCTGATCAGCTGCTACTGTTTCTTTATAAGCTGATCCGGGGGATAATAACCTGTAGTCCTCTGGTTTCCGATATCAGTTTTCGTCAATTCGACAAACTAGGCAAACCCAGCTCTTTTTTGTGGCCACTTATTGAGCAAATTATGGCTGGAGTGCATTTGTTGACCGTATGATGAGCAACTACAATGACCACTACATAGCAATCAACTTGTTCTCAGCTAGTCTCCACACCTGAGACATTTGTTGTAGACATTCATTTTGGTTTTTAATTTATCTAATTTCGCTGTTCTCTATGCTTTGTGTTGTGTTCCTTGTTTTCATTGTTTGTGTTGGCTTATGTGTGCTTTTAACATTGACGTAGGTAGTTTTAAGTTTAATTTCAATTTTTGTTCTATGTACAACTTTTTATTGTTATTATTATTTTAAATGTGCCATTTGGACTTGGAGTTGTCTGTAATGTACCACGCGCAATAAATGAATGAATAAGTTTTACTTTAAAATTATGCTTTAATCTGCTGATTTTAAGTGCTTCAGTACAAATTACACGTGTTGTGTAATTTCAATTCTTTTAACCTGTAACCTTATGCAGAAAGGACAAAAAAATTGAGCTATAATATTTCTGAAATTACCTTAGACCTGAAATACTAGCAGCTGTACAGAAAATTACAATCTGACTCTGACAGTGTTTCCTAGTTGTTGTAACAATCACAATCCAACTAGCAAAGTAATTTTATAATTTGACATTCCTACAAAGCACTACATATACCTATTTCAATTTTGTAATTAGTTTTGTCTAGAAACATTTTCGCAATTATTACAACAGAATTATGAAAAGCCTAATCTAATCTGAGTAACAAAATATTCTCACATCAACAATAGCCTACAAATACCTAAGTTCAAACCATATGTGTTCTTTTTAACGTGCGTGTTTTAACGACATAAAATTCATTAATATTCAAGAGGCAGGAGCGCAATCTAACAGATGTTTGGACTTGGTTGCTAGCCGCTCTGTCGCCTTTTATAATATGCAAAACTCAAAAAAGGCAAACGAAATTTGAAAGATTAACCATCAGGAGTAAAAAAAGTTTCAAATTCCTAGAATGAATACAAAAGAACTTCTGGAAGGAATAAAGTTTGACGTCCCAGTGGATCATTTGTATTAAATTTTAAGGTAACTGGACTAGAACAAAAAGGTTCAGCTTAAAAGTTGACTTTCCCAAAGTTAACCCGAGTTTCTCGGAATTCTATAAAATAATTATTGTGCGAGTAAATAGACGTCATCTGCAATAAATTTTCTCTCCTATGAAGTTCATAATTGTAAACTTCATATGGCTGTCAAGTATAAAGTTCTTTATATACGCTCAAAGTTCCAAACCAAAACAATTTGCACGTTTCCCTATTAGATTTTCATATATGAACAAGTTTCAATTTAATTACGGAAGTTTTAAAAGGCATATTTTAATTACGACATAGGAAATTGCCTGTTTTAATAATATCTAATCATGCAATTTGGTATTGCCATAAATTCATTACGAATTTAATTCAAATTGTCAATATTTGGCCATTCAATGAGGGATGTTTGTTCAGGATAAACAATTATTGCCAACAAAGGATAATCATAATTATCGGATTTCGTGGATGAAATTTCATTGATTTAAGGCCTTGAATAGAGTCGGAGAGTAACATTGGACTTTGCTATAGAAAAAATTTGTTTATAAAAACCAAAAACAACCTTATTTAACATTTACCTTATGAGACATAATATGTTTATGCACAAAATGTTTATTTTGTGCCTGAAATAACAAGAGCCGAAATTTTCCTATAGGGAGAAAATATAATTCTCGAAGTTCTACAAGATAAAAAGTAGTAAGGAATGTCCATCATAGCAAATTTTATTAAAAATGCCATATTTATCGGTAAAATTTGTCACTCCCCGACCTCCATAGACTCACCCTTTTTAAGTAACTAATTAGTGATCCTGGCACAAAAATCTATAAGTCCGTATTGAGACCGAAACACCTCAATTTATTTTGAAAGATAAACAGTTCTGTACTTTTCCAATGTTTAGTTAGTCGCTTAACATGGCGTGAAAAAGACTTTGTTAAATAAACTTTGTGTGGAAGTGGAACGATGAGGCGAAAGATAGAGAAAATCTGTCTTGATTTTATCCTGACACGTTTCCACAAGAGGCTTGAGAATTTCCAGGCAAAATAGAACTCCAAACAAACAAAAATCGATCTACCCACTAAGTTTACCTTGTTTCCAACTATTATACCAGAATCAACTTGTTTGCTGTAGTTTTTTTTTACCTCTATAATAAATCTTATTTTATCTCCAAAAAATTATATTTATGGAACTCTCGGAAAAGCGACAGAGAATCCTAAAATGTAATGTCCTCCTAGACTTTTCGGATCTTGGCATCGGTTCCAGGAAAGTTGTCGACTAGACTACAAAAATTAATTCCTGGAAAGAGAAAAGACGGGATCCAGACGTCGAAATCAATAAGTGGAGTGCCGCTGCTTGACTTTGCTTTTATCTTTCGTGTGGAAATTTAAACTCAAAAATTATCTTTTGAAGGTGAAAAATTGGTTTAGGACAAGAGTCAACTCCAGATGGAAAGTGCTTTATACCTGAATTTATTTTACATAATTTTCAAGTCTGCAGTTTTATTTGGACAAATCGGACAAAATGAAAACAAAAACTGGTGTGTGGCTTTTGCTTTCCGTCTCATTGAAAATTTGTCTGTAAGTAATGCAATTATTTCAGTTGAGATTTTTGTGTTCAAGGGTTTTTTAGGCTAAAATTACCCATTAAACTCTTACAATCCATTTTTTCTATCACATCACAGCGCATCAAACTTGAGCTTATCGTCCTCCATTGTATTTCCAAACACAAAAAACGTCCTTAAGCCCCATACTACAAAAAAAAAAGATATTCCGTGTCAAATCTTTTACCAGTTTTTATCCTGTCGGCTTCCACAATGGCTTTAGCTTTACTGAAAAATTGCCTTGGCCAAGATGGGCCTTTTTTGAAATTAGGGGCGGTGTTTGGTGTAAATGGGGCATTTTGAGGCCAGGAACAAAAAGGCTCTGCGAAAAAAAGGGGTTTCGTTGAGGAGAATTACCCATTTGATGGTTGTTTGAGGAATAATGGACCATGAAACTGGAAACGTTCAGGTACAAAATGAAATTCTCTACAATAAATTGTGAGAAATAGAGTCTTCAAACTGTGTTTTTAGTTTTTATTTAATGAATTATAGAAAGCCAAACTTCTATACGCCAAAATATCCTCTGTTGGGTTGGATGAATCATACTGGAAACTTTCCAAGATGGCTTATGCATCAACAACTATACAAAAGTATTCTTCATAATTTTAAAAATTCCAATTCCATTGAAAATTGTTTCACATAAGTATCCAATTTTAAAAATATTGAAAACTTTTACGACCTATCATGGCTATTTTCCAACTTTATATATGGACAAAACTGTTCCAGCATCGAAATTCGATTCTCGATGGCAAATCGCTTCTCTATAGCTGAAAG